ACTTTCTAAGATTTTGATAGCTAAACTAATATTGTATTTTTTATTCTTAATATAAAAAGAAGAATGACCACTTGATATTTTCCACAAAAGTATGCTAATACTATAAATATCATTCTTTTCATTTAGTTTAAATTGTGATAATATTTTGTTACCTCTTTAGTTGTTAAAAAATTTTGGGTCAACATAAGGAATTATTCCAAAAACTTTTAACTGAGTAGATGCAGCTTCAATTCTTTTCAATAAACTAAAATCATTTAGATTAATAATACCTTAATAAATTAATATATTATCAGAATGCTATTATATAAATTTATTATTAATAATTAACAATAATAAACAAAAAAAGATAGATATTAAGAAAACTTACCAAGTTATAATGCACAATTCATTCTTTATATAAACACGATACAGTATTTGCTAACTGTAAATTAAAATTATATTTACCTCCTAAGTAAGTTTATCAAAATTAATCTTCAAATAGTTTTTAAGTATATCGCTATCTGCATATTCCATTACTAACTAATACTTTTTTAATTTATTTTCTAATTTTTTATTTTTAAAAAATAAAAAAAATTAGTAATATAAACATATGTAAAAATAATTTAAAACATATAAAGTTTGATATATAAACTTTATTAGGAAGATTTACTTTGATTAATAGTTAATGTATCCTATAAAAGCAGATAATATAGGATGAGTGCTGAGAAAAGAAACCAAATTATCAAAAATTATTTTTTAAATAATGAAAGTTCTGGATCAGATGATATGATTAGATTTAATTTTACTTAAGAACAATTTTTTGAAAAATTTTTGATTTGATCTCTTTTCCTAATACTCATCCTATATTATCATAAAAATCTACTTTTTAAGCTAAAATTATTGCAAATATAAAATTTTAGACTAATTATAAATAATTTTATATTAAATAGATTGAAATAGACTAAAATATATTTTATGTATTGTAATTACCTCACGTATAAATGCTTTCATAGTAGTATTATCAAAATTATGAAACAATTTTAATACAAGGTATTACTTTAAACCTTTCTAATTTGCATGATAGATTTTTTCAAAGTTGCCAATACCAATCTCTTAAATATCACTAAAATGTTCATATTCATAATACTTAATGTATTTTTGAAAGATAGATTCTTCAATCCAATTAACCCACTCATTTATATTATTAACAGCTTGCATTTTGATTTATTTAATATAGCATTAATCAAATTTCTAAGCCACTAGTATTTGTAATGATCAGCAGGCATACAAAAAAAACTGATAATCATTACTTTCTTATAAAGAATTAAAATTTCTTAATAAATATTACTTCCACTTCAAAATTAAATAACATCATTATTTTTTCAGACGAATTAAAGTTTAGCATGCAATTGATCAAATAATTATGAAATTCTCAATCTAAAATGTAATTTGTATAAATATGTTCTCATGCTTTACCAAATTGTTGAATCAATGGCTACTAAAATATTTAGAATGAAGTTGCTCTTTGTTTAATGTATTTCTATAATAAAAAATATGCAATATTAGATTTTATATTTTCACTATATTAGCTAGAATCACTTTAGTTTTTAAATTTATCTTTTAATTCATTTTTTATGTCACTTCTAATTTAATTTCACTTTGAAATTTTTTGGCATTGCTGCTGATGATCTTTCAAATTTTCCAAATCCCACTTTATTCCTTAGGTGACACGTAGGAGGTGTCTTGAACATTCTTATCTTATAATTAATCAAATATAAAAAGTAGTTAATTGTAGAATTTTTTTTTGTTTGTATTATAATAAATACATTTTATTATAAATAAAGTTTATTTGAAAAACTTTCCAGATTTCTAAGTATATATCAATTACTGTATAATTATTTATTATAATTTGTTAAATAAAATATGAGCAGGTAAAGGACTTGCAGCAAGTAATTCAAGCAATTATATTTCTCTAGCATCTGAGTCAGTTTGTCAAGTGTTGTAATCTGAAAAAGGATATCTGCTTAAGGCAGCATTTGGTCATCTAGCTAACATTATGTAGTTTAAAGTAAGCCACTTGGTATGATTGTAAGTAGTTAATATCATGATTTACTATAATTTATCTTAAAAATTTAATAAGTTCTATACATCAGATCCAATTGTTTGTTGAAGTTCTCTTGAATTTTAAAAAAGGTAAGCGTTTGATTAGATTTCTCATTAATTTTTTTTAAAAAACCAGCACTTTCTTACCATCGATCCAGGTATTGAAGACCTCAAGAATCTACAATAGTTTAGTTTACTTAAAAGTAAAGACCTCGGAATCTACAAAAAAATTAGTATTCTTCAATTTTTTTTTAACAAATTCAAGCCTTCGGAATCTACCAAAAAAAAAAAATTTAACGAATTTGCAAAAAGGTAAGTCCTTAATTAGTTTTCTATATTTTATTTCGACAGTTTCGATGGTTTCGATGTGTTCGATGGATCTCGAAAGTTTCGACGGGTTTCGATGGTTCTCGAAAATTTCGACAGTTTCGATAAAATTATGCGAAATTCGGCGGGTTTATAGTGTCACATTGTAGTACATAAAACGATTTTATTTTTTGCTTTTTTATTTTAAATCAGAACAAAGTTTCCAAAATAATGCATTATTTATCGAGAAGGTTTTAAATTTGTGAGCACAGAAACTTGTTGAAGAATGCATCCTAGTTCTTAATGAAAGACGCTTGGAAATGCAGATCCACCACTTTTGAATAGATTTGAGAAGCAAAGTATGAGAACGATATTCTTGATAAAGATAACAAGGAATTAAAATAAGCTGCGAGAATGGACATCGCAAATGTCTACTATGGCAAGAACAAAAGGAACTATAGAGGATTTATTTATTGGATTTAATGAGGAAGTAACATTACAAAGCTTGATAATTGATATCAAGAAAAAGTGCTTAATATGAGCGAATGAGTGAAATAGTTGAAGAATGCAAGGAAAATTTAGTCGCAATTGCTACATAAGATGGAATTGTTCGAATTGAAAGATCAGCTTTGTAGTTTGAAGAAATTCAGCATTGGAAATGTGTTTATTTCATGTTCAATATCGTAATAATTTTGAAAATTATTTCCAAGATTCGTTGCACGAAGATGATCACCTAGTCATAATTAACACATTTTCCAACTTTAATACGGATGTCAATTCCTGCTTATAAGGAATCATTTATTGGAGTGTTTGAAACTTTCAATATTAAAAACAGAATCTCAATTTCAAAAACATGTGTACAGAATTTGGTTCGAGTCAGATCATGAATTAAGCTATAATTGAACAATGCCGGAGCAAGTATTCACAAAAACGAAGAGAGAATAATCTAGGAAAATTAAGTTTACATGTATTATTCTTCATATCAGCAAAAGCGGGAGAATGAAGAAAATGCGAATATAACTTCTTTCAACTTTATTAGTGGATGGAATCTAATTACTATCGAATAATTGACTAAATAGCAAAGTTCATTATCTGATTATGATACACGATTTGAGGATATAACTGAGACAACTTATCCGTTTCAAGATTATTAAAGCAAGAATTATTATGGTATTTACTATTTGTGAAATATCCAAACAATGTTATTTCACGTGAGTAATATTTCTTCTAAACTTTTGAATATTACAGTACATCTTATCTCTAATTTTCTTATACTCTCCTAGGTATTTAAACAAATATTTTAAAGCATCTAAATTTCATAAAAATAAGAACGCTTGAGTGGTTCAAGCCATATATCGAACCAGGATGGAAATGCTATATCGCGTCTACAATTATTCCATTCATTTTGTCCTTTGTTGTGGCTAAAATATGATATGTTAATTCTTTGGAACGCTTAGGATCTACAAAATTATTTCTTATTCATAACTTGTCCAAATCTCAAATGTCACCACAAAGAGTACAACTTAAATTTTGAAAAGAGATGTTTATGGATAATAGTGTTATCAATTTCAACTCATTGCCAGAACCATTACCAGATGCTTGTTAGTGTGTTTGATTTACAATTTGCATTTTCATTTTACTTTATGAAGAAGATCGAAAATTTCAAAACTTTATATAAAGGAGAAAATGTCAATTATTGCGGAGTGATACAATCTGAAAATATAATCGAAAGTTTCCAAAAAGGTTTTTAGGTCGATAACTTTCTTAGATTCTTCTCCATAGTTAGATGCCTCAGACTTATATTTAAAGGATTTTGTTAATATGATATATAGCAATGAAACACTTGCTAAAGTATGTCCGCATTATCATACATTTTCAGATTAGACTGGGTAGAGTGTATATCAATTACCCTATACTTTTACATATACATATCTTGGTGGAACATGCTAGTTCAACTTTAGCGGCATTTTAACTAATTCACTAGTGTCCTTTGATAATGATGAACTAATATATGAAGAAAATTTAGAGTAGCAGGTTAAATTTAATTGAGCTGGCGAAATTTTTTGTAATCACATTATTAAAAATTCTGACCATAAATTTAAGTTCGGCCATAAGTTAATATTAATTATTTAAACCGGTTAAAATTAGTAATCTAGGATTTGTGAATGAAATTTATAGAGGAATTCTTTTAAAAAAATTTTACTATTAATAAAAATATGGCGACACCCAGTTTCCGGACAGTTAAGAATCCCGACTCCAAAATCCCGACATAACTAGTCCATAATATATATTATTTAAAAAAAAGACCGTGGCGCGATATATAATATACTGGGTTTAGTATTAGCATGATTCAATTTTATACGAAGTCACGCAATCAAACTTTATGATCAAGTTCACGAAGTAGTTAGAATATAAACTTTCTTTATTTACATAATACAAATCAAGAAGCATGTGCATTTTTTAAAGCAGCATATTTTAAAAAGCAAATTAATTAGCATAACTAATTTCACAGTCATATTTTATTTTACCACTTTTCCATTTTATCAGCCAGGCCACATTAAATCACTTCGGTTACTTAAATTTTCAGATTATAAAAAAACTAAATGGTATAATCATAAAAATAGGTTCATTAACAAACTTTTTAATCCATCATAATCAGCCTGTTTGGCTGCATCGAGAATTTTGGACCAAATTGACGACTGTGAATGACCTTCCCAAAATTCTTTGTATACCTTTGCCCACTCCTTAATATCATCATCTCCAAATGGAATGCGCTCCAAGGGTGGTCGAAATACCATTAGATAAATAGAACGTACCATTGAAATTAACTCAATTTCCTTCGTATACTTGATTTTCTTCCCATCAATAATGTCTTGTAATACCTCATTGGGTAATGTTTCTAAAGAACCAGCAAATAAAACTGGTTTATTAACTTCCACCGAAAATCCCCAGTCAACAATTCGGATGTTTTCATCCTGATCTCTTAACAAATTCCATTTTCGAAAATCACGATGTATGAATCCTAATTCATGCACTTTTCTTAGAGTGTCAATGATGGGAGAAATGTCTTCTTTTCTCCATGTTTTAAATCGTTTACATAGCGGTGATAAAACAATAAATTTTGGACCATCATCATTAGTATCGAGGTGTGATAATTCCATTGAAAGTAAGTTTTGTGAATTCAAGTTAGCTAATTTTTCCATTATATAATCCTCCCATCGAAATTGCTCAATGAATTTGGTATCCTTTAACATTTTCACAGCAACTTTATTGTTATCATACATTCCTTCATAGACTACAGATGTCCTTCCTGTTCCAATTGATCTCACTAATTTGATTTCTTTATCTTCATGATGCAATGTTGATGGTACCCAGCCAAGTGTTTCTGGATCTTGAGACAACAGCGTGACAAACTGCTTCCATCCTACAGCTGCTGAACCGTTATCCGATTCCAATTTTGCAAGTGGTGTACGTTGATATTTGAGATTACTATTACCACTTCTGTCAATAAAAATTAACATAAGTACACGACAATTTGTAAGAACAACGTAAACAAATGGTCTGCGAGGTTGCAATTGAAGTAATTTCTCTCCAAAAGATGTGGCATGACCTATATCTGCATTTGAAAACATCCCATGTTTCGCGGTGATCACTCTAATTTCACCAACAGCCACAACGTTAAGAGGATCAAGTGGGTCCTGTTTGCTCACAATGACGAAGTCTGGCTTACGCGTATCTAAAAGAGGAAATTTATGCACATCCAACACATTATAGTGTATTTCATCGAATGCTCTTGTAATAGCATCGCACTCTTTGATAAAATACTCTTGTATAAACTTTTCTCCTCTTTGGGAAGTTGGGATTGTGTTTTTCTTGAACAAACCAATCCTACTATTTTTTCTCAACGTAATTGATTTTAAAATAAATGGAAATTTCAGTTCGTCCTTAACCAGCCTTCCCTTTTCAGTTGCAGTATGAGTTGCTAAGAAAAAACTAAGTAAGAACGTAGATGCAGCAAATTTTAAAGTAACAACTTTGACATCTTACCTGGGCAAGAGAACCAACCAAAATTGGACACATCAATATTGATCTTTTTAAATCTATCATCGATAACTTTTATCATTTCTTCAGTAAATGAGCGTTTCATGGTTTCTATCTCTCTCTTTCTCTCTCTCTCTCTCTCTAATGCTGTAAATGGAATGAAAGATAAGTTTCTCTAGTCACGTTCGTGTTGACCAATCATTACGGCGCGTGACGCATAGGCTTACCTTGATGTTCATCTAAATTGAGTTAGGAGACAAAAAAAGACAAAGTTAGTTACTGGACAATACAGTAAGTTATGAGTCATGACCAATCACTATGGCGCAAAGGCTTACCTCTTGTTGATTTGAAATATATCCTTAAGTAGTCAGCTTTCTCTTCAACTTCTGTGATTGTTGAAAGAACATTTTCCACTATAGTCGAATCTCTGTTTGTGAAAAAAACCCGAAGCTCAGCTTTTTCATTACTAGTGAAAGGAAGACTGTTAATATCCGTAAAGATAGGACTTGTAAAATTAGACATTTTTTTTTTTTGTAAGTTTAGAAATAACGTTTGAAAAAGTAATTGATAAGACTTTAAAAAGAAAAACGATTTCTAGAGAGTTTATATATGTTTTAAAATTAACTTTTATCAAGCTATATGAACGCGCCTTAAATCTGATATTATACTGCGCCAATTCGGCATGTGAAGTTGCCAAATTTATTTGATATACTACGTCAAACTTTGGAAATCAGATGATACACCACTTCTCGTTATACAATATTCTGAATTCTTAATAATTTTTTGCTTAGCTTTAGTTTCTTCTTTTCATTCACTAACCCTTTCTTGAAATTTATAAATATTGGGCTTTGTTAATTCTACTCACCCTCTAATATTTTCTTCTAAATTATTGATATTGACTTTGATTTTTTCTTCTTGCCTTGTAACTTTTTTTTTTTCTAAATATCTGAATTGTTGCTTTAATTCCTTAATTCTCGATACCAAATCACTTGGAGCTTTTTCTAAAACCATTTATTTATTTATTTATTTATTTTTGATCGGATGAGCTTTATTTATTTTCTTGTATGGAAATTTACCAATAGAAGACTCACTTTTACTCAGCCCTCGATCTAAATCTTTTCCTACTGTAATTTTTTTCATAAATCATCAACTTGTCTACCAAATAAAGTTAGCTGCTTTCTGAAAATTGAAAATCAAATTGAGTTTAGCTTATTTTATACTCGATCTTATTAAATTCGCAAAGTCAACTTTACAAAACTTCGAAAAAACGAAAAAGATGAATACAATGGAGAGAAAGATTAACAAAAAGAAAAGTTATTAATTACATTATGTAAATGATTAAAAGAACTCGCTTCAATATTATGAACTATTTAATATAGTGATTTCATGAAAATATTGCGTTTATATAACAATTAAAATGTAACAGAAGTTTTTTCTTTTATAAACAATTACGATTTAAAATTATTCAAAAATAATTTATCAAGTGTTTTGCCTCAACGTTGGCGATCTAAAATTCCGTTTTCTTAAATCAAATGATTTATCTCGATTGTGGGTTCAATTAATTTTTTTGGATTTCCCGCACGTCAACAAAAAAATAATTAAAAAAAAATATTTTTCATTAAAACATTTGCTTATTTAAACCAAAAATATATATATATATATATATATATAAATATTTCTCTTATCAATAATGTAAACCACTTGTGAAAAAAAGGATTTGAAATTTAATTTATTTTTTTTTTAAAAAAAAAAAAATAAAAGACTTTTAAATGACTGAAATTTATTTGATCGATTTAAAGTTTTAATTTTACAGATAAAAACAATGAAACGAAGGGCAGGTCCAATAAAAGGTATTTTAATAATTCGAATGACAAAATAGTGGACGAAAAAAGGGATTTTACCATTAACTTACACGAAACGAAATCTAACAATAACAAGAATGATTATTTATTTAAATTAATAAGTCCGCGCGGATTTTGTATTGTTTGGAGTCGCGTTATTGGGTATTTTCAAGTATAAAACTTAAACCATTATAATATGAATGTTTCCATTGCAAACAAATAATGTATATAATAATTATTTTTTTTTATTTTAACGCTAGTAAAGAATTCATGCTAAGAAAATTATGTTAAATAAAAACCTTGTTTATAATTTGAGCATAAATCGTTAAATGTAAGCTGATACAATTTCAATAACGTTTGAGAAAATTTTTAGACAATCTTGGTTTTTAAGACACACGTTTTTTAATTCTAAAGATGAATATGTCGCGCTTCTGCATTTTTTTTTTTTTTTTTTTTGTTCATAGCTTAATTTCGCTATCACCGATTTTTTAATGAATGAAATTTTTACGTTCCATGACGTACAATAAATATACGCAAGCAAAAAAAAAAAAGATGAATTATCTTGGAAAATCTACAAATAGACCATGTGAATCGTGCCGTCACTATTTTATCATTTTTTTTTTATTTTAACTAGTGAGGCCTGAAGTGTCCACCGTCACGCTACATCTTTCGCTGTTAAAATAAAGATAATAGAAAAATTTATATTAAAAAATAATGACCTACTACATACTCTCCAACCTGAAAGAGATCGAACATGGAAAAAAGAAAAGCAATATTTCAAAGAAATCGTAGTGACTGAGCCCGGAAACAAAAAAAATTGAACGAAAAACTAAAAGAAAATAAAATGATATTACCTCTTATTATTTTCAAAGAGATTAATAATAAACAATATTTCAATTTCTTTAACCTTCCCGAGCTATTTTTCAATTTCGTTTTAATTTACGAATTCCTTTTGACAAAAAAAACTTATTTGATAAGCAAATGATTATAATCCTACAAGACTTCAATTTTCGATTCTTTTAAATGAATTACAAAGTAATTTGCATGGGGTTGTTAAACTAATCTAGTTCACTTCGGATTCATCCTTTTCTGTTGATTCCGAGACATCAGCGTCGATAAATCAATATTGATAAAATATGCTGATTCATTTTCCAAATAGGAATATTTTTTGGATATGGAATAGTCATATGTATTAATTAATTAAATCCTTTCTATTTAAAAAAACCATTGAGCGGCGTGGTACAAATATTAAAATATTTTGCTCATAGGCGTATGATTTTCGAGTTCTAATTTTAGGAAAATTCAATTAATTTAATATGGAAATAACCGAAGGGTCAATTTATTTGTCACCGGGTTAAGGTTAGTTTAATTAGTTTAAGGTATATTATTTATAAAACACATGCTTTCAAACCTTTCTTGCTCATAATAAATGACTATATTGCTTTT